TGTAATATAACATTTAAGTGTGTTCACACTACCCTACAGGTAGAAATTTTGATATTCCGTCTTCTTACCCCATGTTTTGTGGAAAAAAATTTTCTTGACGTACTCTACCCGATCAAATGTACTATTTCTACTCGAATTTCATCCAAAACAATCGGGTAAGAAATCAATGAACCCATATTTTTTTAGTTATTACTTTTTGGATCATTTTAACAATTTAATTAAATAACTTACACCAATTAACTGACACAATAAATGAATGACACTAAAAAAGTACAATAAATTCGATAATACATAAATAATTACAAAAAAACACCACAAAAAAAACAATAAATATTAGGGTTTCTAGATTTTTGGATTTTAATTTTTAGGGATTAACATATATACACAAAAAAATTGTAAGTGTTCCGTATTACTACCTGATTTTTTACAAAATATCAAAAAATTTTATGTTGGCTTACTCGATTCTTTTCGAGTAACCAATCAATATAGCCAAGTAGAATAGGATAATATCAAAATTTATCGAGTAATCAAAAATTTCAACACTCCTAATAATATTGTCAATATAGAAAACTCAGGGGTCAAGAAATAAGGGATACCCATTGTGAAGCAAGAGTGTTAATTGGTTAGTAATTTCACACATCCAAATGATACATTAAAATGCGGGTAGAATTTTTATGCAATAAATTTCTGACATTACTTGGTAATTAAGAACTGGACATTAAATATGAATGCATTTTAGGGCTTCATGGATGGATTTTTGGGGAGGGTTTAGATTAATTTATTCAAACTCTTTCAAACTCGAACCCCTCTTTATATATAGGATTCACAGATATATCATAATAATTAACAACTATTTGTACTGTAAATAACTATATTACCCTTGATCAATCCAATTCATACTCATGTTAAAAGGTACAATTGTCTTTTACATCCTTAATCCCTTAATTTATCTTTTCAAACCCACCTTCCCTAAGTTTTACAAAACTCAGGATCATGAGTTTAATATTCAGACCAACTAGGGGCTGGCTTAACAAACTCATGATTAAATTTTGAGAAAATTAGAATGGGGTACACCAAATTAGACTTAATTGTAAAAAAGTACACAAAAATAAAATTGGGTAATTAATTCCTTAATTTTGATACTTATTTGTATCTAAGTACATTATTTAAATTTTACTAATTTTTTTGTGACATTTTTTTCCTTCATTGATTCTTGTGTTTTTTCTTTGAAAAATGGTGCATTAAACATCTCTTAATTTTATGGGAGAACTTTAATATTTCATATTTGTATGTCCTCCCTCGATTCATACATATTTTTTTTTTAAAAGTGATTTTGTTTTCAAATTATATTTAATGCATTTTGATTCATGCGTATATTTTTTTGGAATGTGATTTTGTTTTCAAATTATATTAATATCCAAACAGTGTAACAATGTAACAAACCATTTACACAAAATATTGTACTATTATGTTTTGTCAAACATATATTTTCATATAATTTCATTCAAAACAGTTCATCTTTTTTTTTAAATTTGTTATAACATGTACAAAACTATTGAACACTATTTTTGTTACAACATATTGTTACACTGTCTTTGTTACAGTGTATTTATTTCGTTGTTTTTGTTACACTATTATGGAGTTCAAATATTAACAAATTTTGAAATTCAAACAAGTGATATATTCTAAAATAAATCAAATATTAAAATTTTCGTATAAAACTAGTAATAATAAATATTTAATGTATAAATATAATTTAAAAATAAAATCACCTTTCAAAAAAAAAAATATGCATGAATTAAGGTGCATTAAAGATAAGAAATTTTAAGTTAAATAACCATAAATTTCACCTCTTAATAAATATCTTGTTAAAATTTTTAAGAAATAAAATTTTACAAAATGATAATTTATGTCTTTATATTTTAATTGTGTATTTTTTTTAAAAATATTTTGTTCTATGTATTTTTTTATAATTATGTCTAATTTAATATACCAGCTTCCAAAAAACCTTAAATTTTCAATTCAAACATAAAATTTAAGGCAATTTGAATTTTTTTTTTCCCAAACCCTTCGTCCTATACCCCCTACATCTTTGCCCTGTCCCTTATAGAAAACTCTGACAAATCCTTCCCTATAATCAAGAAATGTCCATGAATCCAGTCGCCTTACATTTATTGGCAAAACATATTTCAAGTCAATGTATCGTTGTCCATTTCTTCAGTCAACTGTTGACACAAACATATGGGGAAATCATAAACGCATAGATCAAACAACAACTTCCACACAGAATATTTATGTTATAAGCATACTGAAGTGGTGAAACATCCAAAAAATCAAAATATGCGTCAAATAATAGTGTGCAACCGCGCATCGACAGACATCATCCACCAAAAAAAAAAAAANTTTCGTTGTTTTTGTTACACTATTATGGAGTTCAAATATTAACAAATTTTGAAATTCAAACAAGTGATATATTCTAAAATAAATCAAATATTAAAATTTTCGTATAAAACTAGTAATAATAAATATTTAATGTATAAATATAATTTAAAAATAAAATCACCTTTCAAAAAAAAAAATATGCATGAATTAAGGTGCATTAAAGATAAGAAATTTTAAGTTAAATAACCATAAATTTCACCTCTTAATAAATATCTTGTTAAAATTTTTAAGAAATAAAATTTTACAAAATGATAATTTATGTCTTTATATTTTAATTGTGTATTTTTTTAAAAAATATTTTGTTCTATGTATTTTTTTATAATTATGTCTAATTTAATATACCAGCTTCCAAAGAACCTTAAATTTTCAATTCAAACATAAAATTTAAGGCGATTTGAATTTTTTTTTTCCCAAACCCTTCGTCCTATTCCCCCTACATCTTTGCCCTGTCCCTTATAGAAAACTCTGACAAATCCTGCCCTATAATCAAGAAATGTCCATGAATCCAGTCGCCTTACATTTATTGGCAAAACATNGTTGTGTATTTTTTTTAAAAATATTTTGTTCTATGTATTTTTTTATAATTATGTCTAATTTAATATACCAGCTTCCAAAAAACCTTAAATTTTCAATTCAAACATAAAATTTAAGGCAATTTGAATTTTTTTTTTCCCAAACCCTTCGTCCTATACCCCCTACATCTTTGCCCTGTCCCTTATAGAAAACTCTGACAAATCCTTCCCTATAATCAAGAAATGTCCATGAATCCAGTCGCCTTACATTTATTGGCAAAACATATTTCAAGTCAATGTATCGTTGTCCATTTCTTCAGTCAACTGTTGACACAAACATATGGGGAAATCATAAACGCATAGATCAAACAACAACTTCCACACAGAATATTTATGTTATAAGCATACTGAAGTGGTGAAACATCCAAAAAATCAAAATATGCGTCAAATAATAGTGTGCAACCGCGCATCGACAGACATCATCCACCAAAAAAAAAAAAATGTAGCAAAAAAATATATATATGTACACTCAATATAACAACTACCCAGTAACAATTTCAATAGAAAANTAATTTTATGGGAGAACTTTAATATTTCATATTTGTATGTCCTCCCTCGATTCATACATATTTTTTTTTTAAAAGTGATTTTGTTTTCAAATTATATTTAATGCATTTTGATTCATGCGTATATTTTTTTGGAATGTGATTTTGTTTTCAAATTATATTAATATCCAAACAGTGTAACAATGTAACAAACCATTTACACAAAATATTGTACTATTATGTTTTGTCAAACATATATTTTCATATAATTTCATTCAAAACAGTACATCTTTTTTTTTAAATTTGTTATAACATGTACAAAACTATTGAACACTATTTTTGTTACAACATATTGTTACACTGTCTTTGTTACAGTGTATTTATTTCGTTGTTTTTGTTACACTATTATGGAGTTCAAATATTAACAAATTTTGAAATTCAAACAAGTGATATATTCTAAAATAAATCAAATATTAAAATTTTCGTATAAAACTAGTAATAATAAATATTTAATGTATAAATATAATTTAAAAATAAAATCACCTTTCAAAAAAAAAAATATGCATGAATTAAGGTGCATTAAAGATAAGAAATTTTAAGTTAAATAACCATAAATTTCACCTCTTAATAAATATCTTGTTAAAATTTTTAAGAAATAAAATTTTACAAAATGATAATTTATGTCTTTATATTTTAATTGTGTATTTTTTTAAAAAATATTTTGTTCTATGTATTTTTTTATAATTATGTCTAATTTAATATACCAGCTTCCAAAGAACCTTAAATTTTCAATTCAAACATAAAATTTAAGGCGATTTGAATTTTTTTTTTCCCAAACCCTTCGTCCTATACCCCCTACATCTTTGCCCTGTCCCTTATAGAAAACTCTGACAAATCCTGCCCTATAATCAAGAAATGTCCATGAATCCAGTCGCCTTACATTTATTGGCAAAACATATTTCAAGTCAATGTATCGTTGTCCATTTCTTCAGTCAACTGTTGACACAAACATATGGGGAAATCATAAACGCATAGATCAAACAACAACTTCCACACAGAATATTTATGTTATAAGCATACTGAAGTGGTGAAACATCCAAAAAATCAAAATATGCGTCAAATAATAGTGTGCAACCGCGCATCGACAGACATCATCCACCAAAAAAAAAAAAATGTAGCAAAAAAATATATATATGTACACTCAATATAACAACTACCCAGTAACAATTTCAATAGAAAAATCAATTCTTACCTAAGATTTCTTACAAATTAAAGACCAAGCCAACAACACCCAAAAGTCAAAATTGTTCTTCTAGATTCTAGTTTATGATGGGATTGGGTACATTAACATAAAGTTTTCAACTTTGGAAGCGGGAAAAATAAAAGAAAATAGCAATATTATCAAATCTATTTTAGGGACCTCATTTAAGGATTAGTCAATTTTAGTCATTGGATCAATAGTCGGTTTCAATATGAAATGAAGTCCACTGTGGACCAATGTCCCCCATTCATTAGATCTCTAAATTAAGTTCCAAATTAAATGCACATCATTGATAAATAAATTAACAACCTGTGTTAGTATCACACATAGAAGTAGTAACTTCTGAAGACACTTCCAGATAAGTTAATATTAATATATAACTGGCCCTAATAAACAGCTCATAATCATGTCCAAACCAAAATCAACAACATCCCCATGACCAAGACCATCAACTAGTAACACAGTATAATAAGATAGACAAAAGCCCAAAAGTAGCAGCGACAGTTATAACTAATGGTGAGCGCAGAAGGTGACCAAATAGCTACCACCAGTGCAAGTGGCAATGCTAGTGGGATCATCATAAGCATAAGAATAAGCCCTGGGACAAGCGGCCTTGAAGATCCTTGAGTAAGCCGTGGGCTTGCAGGACTGAGGACTCCCAAAGTTCCCAGTGCAGCAATACCTAGGTGAATTGAATGCAGAGCAAGCACTCTTACAAGCCACCACCCTCCTCTTGTCATGGGACCTCACCTGAAGTCCCACTGGGCACATCATGTTCAGATCACTCACACACCCTGCATAGCTACACTTGCCTGCAGAAAGAAAGCACTGAAACATCAATGAGAGGACTATTTTGTCATCGGGGAATAAGAAGGGCAGGCTAGAGTTACTTTTTGATGTTTTACAAGTACATAATACAAAATTAGGATTAGATTTTAATTCAATATGTCAGAATTATGACTAAATGAAATTGTCTGGTATCAAACCTAACATATTCGTATCTTTGCCAACTTCTTTACAAATCGTCAGTAGACCCTATTGATCCGTGACTGGCCTCTGAAGAGTGTAGTATCCTAAATTTTAAAAAGTTAACATAAAGTCTTACCCGGATAACGACATATATCATAATCCTAAAGATATATACACCATAAAATATTAACCATTGTTAATCGAAAACAATTGAAAGAAAAAAAGGTAACATCTGATGCTTGCCTGAGCCTCTGAAGGGTGTAATGGATATAGCAAGGTTGTAGCCATCGACAAGGCTAACATCATAGAAGTCCTGGTCATTGCCAAGGGTGATCTCGGCCAGGGTGGCGGGTGGGGTACCGCCGAGGCCATTGCAGAAGAGAGCACCTCCGCAGTCTCCGGTGGCGCAGCGGCCATGACCCGAGGCATCGAAAGAGCAGCCGTGGCGGCCCCAGATGCGGCCGGACCACTGAGCGGGGAGGCGGAGGGGATAGGACTTGTTCGGAGGGAGCTTGAAGCCGCCTCGGGCGAGGATGGGCCTGCCTGCGCTGGGTTGTATGCCTGGCCAGACTGGGTGGCTGCACTTGTTGTACAGCGTTATGGTTGTGCCATAGGCCTCTACTGTACCACACCATTTTCAGCACAAAAAGACACAATTTTAGTAAAGATACATCCTTTAGCGTCTTAGTTTAGAAGCGTACAAGCAATGCTATGACATAATTTAAAGATTAATTGTGAGTTTATTAGATGTCTCGAAGGATGAAATTTATCTTATTTTAATCCTTAATACTTTAATTGTATTATTTTAGTTTTTAAAATATTGAATATATTTTTATGTGATATCTTAAACAGACAATGTCTAAATTATTAGTAATTTTGTATTATAAACTTGTTATATAAAATTTAAATATGAGCAAAAAAAATAATTTGAGAAACTCTGACCAAAATTAGGCATTTTATTTTATGAGCTACCAAAATTTTTCTAAAAGAATTACTTAAATTTTGGTCAAAAATTACCTAAATAATTTTTTTTTTATCCATATTTAAATATGACATGACAAGTTAATGATTAAAAATAATTAATAATTTAAACTAATACAATAATAGGCAGTTCGTGTCAAGTTCAAACAGTATATTTTAGTGTCGCTTTATTTATGTTACAGAGGATTCATCAATTCGACACCCGAATAAGTCAATGGCTTCATTTATTTAGGAATTCGCGAGTATTCTTCACAAAATAAAAGTGAAACTGATGAATAAAACACACTAAATGTGCAGATTTGGCAAAAGATTAGTGACAACGTTTATATTTATAGAGTGACAGTGGAAATGAGCCGGCTGGGCGGGTTTTTAGGCGGTGGTGTCTCTAGTGGTCGGGTTGCTTGGAGGGTGCGGGGTGAATGGGGGTGGAAGCAAACTGAGGTAAGTCAGCCCAACCCACATTGTTGAATGAGTGATAAAATAAGAAAAAACAAAATCCATTATTTCTCTCTTTTAAACAGAAGTGTACTCAAACTATGTAAAAGGAAGAGATTCATACCTGAAATGTGAAGTATGAAGAGGGAGAAGAGGAGCGAAGTGAAGAAAGGTCTCAGCATTGCCTCCATTGCCGTGACCGAGAGCAGTTTGCTGAAGAGGCAAAATAGTAGACCTCCCTGAGGTAAAGAAAAAAGGCTCTTCTTCTTTTAACAGCTCACATGGGGAGGGGCTTTTATAGGGAAACAAAAGAAAGGCAAAAATAGAGGGCTACTTGTTCAATTTTTGGAGTGAAAAAAGAAAGCTGGTGGTAGGTGGGCCAATGTGAATAAATGAGTTTCAGAATACAAGTCTGTCAAAAAACCAAAACTCTCTGAGGAGAGAGAGTTGATGGGGTGGAGCACAAATTGGGGTGGGCGATGAAGACAAACTGCTCTGCTCTCGAGGCTGTCAGCGGCAAAGTGGGGGTACAGTTGTCTGTAGAAAANGAAGACAAACTGCTGCTCTGCTCTCGAGGCTGTCAGCGGCAAAGTGGGGGTACAGTTGTCTGTAGAAAAAAGTGATAAATTACATTCATGTCGCTTATAGTTCTTGTTTATTACAATAATAGACTTATATTTTATGATATTATATTAACCCCTTTATTTATTTCATTTTGATATTAGATATTTTTTCAATTTTTTCACTCAAACTTTGTTCCAGCATTCTTTTGAACACTGTTGTTCTTTATTTGAACAATAAATCTAAATNAATAGACTTATATTTTATGATATTATATTAACCCCTTTATTTATTTCATTTTGATATTGGATATTTTTTCAATTTTTTCACTCAAACTTTGTTCCAGCATTCTTTTGAACACTGTTGTTCTTTATTTGAACAATAAATCTAAATTCACTTCATCTTTTTCCTCTTCTTTTCTCTCTCTCTTGCACAAATGCACACACATGTGACATACATATATTTAGATCACACATACGAGCTTGTAAATTCATATAACTTTCTCTTTCTCAATAAAATATAAAATGTCATATAACTAGATTACTTTTATGAATTTGGGATTGATGTTGTTAATCAATGGTAATTGTAATCGTGTGATCATGGTGACAAATAAGGGGTGATCGTTGATTATGAAAAATGAGTATTCGTCCAAATCCAGCTCATGTAAACTAGAGATTGACCATATGTATTAAACGGTGGACGTCTACGAGAATACTTGTATAAACCTGTGAGGAGATGAAAACGAAAATGGACTAAAACTTGATCTCAATCGTAATAATCACGCCATTGCCTTTTTCCTCCTTCCCTTTGACCCTCTATCTTTCCCCTAAATCAACTCCATCCAAATCTTTGCCTTTCCCTCTTTCTCTATTTCCCTCTTTCTCTATTTGACACACCTCCCCAACACAAAAAACTATAATAGATATTGGCGACCCACCAGCCTCAATAAGCAATCAAATGTATAGTATTTCACTCCCTCTTTCCCTTTTCTTTTCTCTCTGTCTTAGTATTTTTTCTAAATCTCTCTCACCCATTTTACTCTAACAACCCACACACATATACACATAGAGTACACATAACAACCGTCCCATTCCCAATCTCTCTCACTCCTTTTCACTCTGACAACCCAAATCACACGCAACACATGCAAACACACAAAATACCACATAGAGCACACACACACATATATTAAATATTAAAATTTTTTCTTAAAATTATAGAATTTAATTGTTATGAGCCGGGGGGGATAGGGCGAGTGGTGGGGGGACAAAGGATTAAAATTTACTCACGAATAACGATGAGGATGAAAATTAGCCCCTGTTAACAGAGGTAGAGTTTTTTTTAAGTGAGTAAAAGGTGGAGACTAGTACTCTCGCTCCCCACCACCCTTAGTGCACCACCATTTCTAGTGGGATAGTCCCCTTGTGAGCTAATGTTTATGTCTAACAATTATTGATGAAGTAAGGGAGGGGGAGGTTGTGGTTTTGATGAGAGTTTTGGCAATGGTGGATGTTGTGTTTTTTTTTTTAGGGGGGGAGAGGAGGGGGAAGGGAGATCCCAGAAGGAGCTAGTTGAGGAGACATAGGGATGATCGTTAAGCCTTTTTTGTTTTTGTTTTCATACTTTTAAGAACAAAATGTGTATCTTTAAGAAAAATAGTGATGATGTTAATTGATTCTTTTGGGGAATTAACAGTTGATTGTAATTGTATAAAATCAAAGGGGTACCAATATAATTTGAACAAGAAAAAGTTGTCGTAGTCACATGCTGAAGGGAATCCACTCAGCTGGTCCGTGGTTGTGCTTCCTTGTGACCTATTAGTCATCACTCTGAAGTCTGCAGTACCANGAGAGTTTTGGCAATGGTGGATGTTGTGTTTTTTTTTTTTAGGGGGGGAGAGGAGGGGGAAGGGAGATCCCAGAAGGAGCTAGTTGAGGAGACATAGGGATGACCGTTAAGCCTTTTTTGTTTTTATTTTCATACTTTTAAGAACAAAATGTGTATCTTTAAGAAAAATAGTGATGATGTTAATTGATTCTTTTGGGGAATTAACAGTTGATTGTAATTGTATAAAATCAAAGGGGTACCAATATAATTTGAACAAGAAAAAGTTGTCGTAGTCACATGCTGAAGGGAATCCACTCAGCTGGTCCGTGGTTGTGCTTCCTTGTGACCTATTAGTCATCACTCTGAAGTCTGCAGTACCACTCACTTTTTTTTTTTTTTTTATTTAACTGTAGTACCATTCACTTCACAGTTCACTGGGTGTAAAAGCAAAACTCACCCTCTCCCCTCTCCCCTCTCCCCAACGTCAAGAAGATGTCATTATTGGTTCTTAAAAATGTTAGAGCAATGGTCAAGGTTCCTGCCGCAAGCTTCATCACGGGGATTGTAAACCACGCTCTACATTTATCCCTCGTATAACAAAAAATTGTTATAACATTTGTTGATAAATTGTAACAACCGACAAATTATTGGAATAATGATTTTCAGTATATAATATAAAAAGATAGTTTGTGGTTGATTCAGAGTTTGTATTAGCGGTGTCATCCTACTTTAAAAATAAAAAATAAGGTCTTTCGTCTTCTTATTTATTATTTTGTGAAGAATTTTTTTTTTATCTTATCTTACCGGATCAAGTAGTATTCTTACATGACTTCCGGCCAAACTAATTGGGTAGGAAGTCAGATGAACACTTTTCTAGTTATTAATTTGGATCATTTTAATAATTTAATTAAATAATATGCACTAATTTAATAACACAATAAATTAATAATACTAAAATTTAAAACAATTACAATAAAACACAAGAAAGTATAAATATCAATCCATCATAATTATTGCATAAAAATACATTAACAATTATTTTAACAAAAATACAATAAAAATTATTTCATATTCCTACTAAATTTGTTCGGCTAACCGTTTAATAAGATCAAGTAGGGTAAGAAATTGCGACTAATCAAAAATTCGAACACCCCTAATTTTTATAATCAAGAAGATGTGTAACACAAAATGAATTAGACGAGTTAAAAATTTAATTGGAACTCAACTTGAATTATAAAAACTTCAACAAAAATTTAATTTTAATTGGACTTTAAACCGGATTTTTAAACCTCAGTATTATGGTCTATCCTTAATTTTCTTGAATATGGTTATATTTTTAAAAATTCGGAGTGAAATTCATATTATTTTTTTCAAATTAAAGTTGTCATGTCAATTTGGGTTCAGAAAAAGGGTTACACAGCTTAGTGTTAAAATTCGGGTATATTTGGAATTCAATTCTGGTTGGCTCAAAAGATTCCAACTGTAATATTAATTAAATTAAATTGAATTGACTCTTTGTAAGATTATCCCAAATATTAAAAATTATAACTCGAAATAAGGAGTACTTTAGGTTGTTTCGACTGACCCAAACCAAGCTTTTTTTTTTTTTTTTGTTAGCACAATGGTCAAGAATATTTTAGTCAATTTATACTCATTTTGATTAATTCTCTTCTCGTTCTAGTGAAAAACAGATCATCCATGTTGAAATTAAAATATTTATAAAAAATAAATTTTTTATTACTTGATTTTCAAAAAAATTCGAGTTTCAAATGTCTATATTTATAATTCATTTTTATTATAATTTGACTTACTCTTAGAGTGCAATAATTGTTTTGTTTTTGAATGTTTGGAAATGGGCGCCACGCGAATACAAGTGACAGTGCGGTTAAAGTAATATGCACCAATGGCATACTTCATATCTATGACCGTTCACAAGTATGAAGGGGATCATAATGCAGATCTACGGTCCTACTTGGAGTTTAACTTGTGGGTATGTCGAATGTGTACAGTAGTCTCTGTCATATTTAGCACACATCTTACAATATTATACTCAAATAAGCGACAAACAGACATTATGCGAAGAGATTCGATTGCGATAAATGTCGTTTAATGCAGAGTGCATAAATCTAAAGTTCGGATTGGTAATACAGTTAAAAAAGAGCAATGCTATAGTAATTAAACGAAACCTAAAAAATTTAAATTTAAATGCATATCATCTCTTAAATAAGTGAATTCTATTAATTTTTTTAGTAGGACTCACTCATATTACACTCTTCCAAGGGATAGTATGGATTTAGATTTTAACATTTGAGTTTCATTTAGGTTATTTAAATTTTTTTTTTAAAAAAATAGAAGGATAAAGAGTAAAAGTGATATATTTTTTATTTTTTAAAGAAATAAATCCTATATTCCCCCATTTGTATTTGATAAAAGAAATGTAAAGTAGAAATAATTGACTTATTTGTATTTGATAAGATAGAAAAATTATATGTTTTATATTTTTTAATTTTAAAAAATATAAATAAATATTTTATTATTATATTTATAAAGAGACGAAAAATGAATTTAGCTCTAGCTCTCACAAGAGTCAACAGAGGTTGCCTCTCATGCGAATAGGTTTTGAATTCAATCTCCAGGCCTTTTCTTTATGCAAAACGAACAAGTTGTCTAAGATTGAAGTGTTTCGATCGAAGACATTTTGATGTTTAAGTTAATAATGGAATGAATAATTTAAGATAAGTTAAGGAGAATTCAACGTACTTTTCACCTTACCTCCTTATACCTTTTATAATACCTTTTCCAGTTAAGTTTTCCATAATTTTATATTCGAGGTGACACACATTTCCTTAATCTAGTGATTCTGTTTGGAAGTTGCTGAGATCTCTCCGACAGTTCTCTTTGCCGAGCC